TCCTGCTGCAATTGCTGCTTATTGCTGCAGGTACCTGACCTTTGATCCAGCTGTTTTTTTAATATACTGTATGGGTATTGATTTGGCCGGCAACGAGACACATGTTCTCTCCAGTCTCTTAATGCTGAGAGCTACAATTAAAAGTAATTGCCTCTTTTTCTTCAGCAAGCAATATGTGGGCTGCATCCCCTGACAGATATTCTGCTGAAGTCCAAACCTAGCCTCTGCATGGACAGGGAAATATTGCAATAGCAATAGGCTGGCACTTCCTTGTAGTCCTAAATTTGGCATCATCCCTGCAAATGACCATGTTCTTCTGCTTCACTACAAACTCTGTGTCAGCAGCTCCTGGCAACAGTCCCTATTGCAAAGCTCAGTGTGTGCCTCCCGGACTCAATGCCCAGGAGCTGCTACGTTGTGGTTGCCTGTCTTGTCTCTGCATGTTGCAGGAGGGCCATTAAAGCAGGTGGCCCTACTCCGCCATGCTCATTACTCTCAGTTTCCACTGTACCTCTCAATGCTAAATGTAGCACTCCAAATGTTCGATGAGAGTGACCCTGCCATCCTATTTACAGATGGAGAAAGGCTCAGAGATGGGAACTGAGCTGTTGAGGATGTGTGTACATTAACATATCTTGAACATGGCCTGTGTGTACATGAACATATATCAAGCAACTGGGTCTGAATTCAGGGTTCAAACCTGTGTCTGATCTCTCCAGGCAACAGACGATGTTCTTGTACTAACAATCCATGCTGCCATCCCCTCTTCACAATAAATTGCTGATTCGTCTTCCTTTAAGGGAAAAATAAAAGTAAACATAAAATATACACAAAATGTTCTAAAAGAGGAAGGAAAAACACACACACTCAGCTAGTTGTAGCTGTGCTGTTTGGAGGTACTTTCACTCTCTTCCCGTGTCAGTTCTGAGCTTGGGGATAGCAATGACTGGTGGGGTTTTGCAAGCCAATTTTCGTCAATTGCTTGTGAGAGTTGACTGAGCAATGCCTACACACCCAGTGGTGTGACAAGCATGGAAACAAGGCATTGCCAGGAGAAATTCTGACCCAGGATTATCATCCTGGATATTTTTCCTGTCCATGCTGCAGGAAGATAGAGGGCTGCTGTAGAATAGTGTGCTGGCATTTCCAGCATGCTATAGGTCAAGGGCTAGTCATAACTTCTGAGCTGTTTGTGTGGGAGCAAGAGGCAGCTCAAAGACCTTTTGGCATTCTAGAACTGCCTAAGATGTAGTCTGGTTCTCATTCCCCATCCAACTGTAGTCAAATTAGCTTAGGAACACTGGCACAGGTTGGGAGAATGGACTCTGGAAGGGCTGTCTCGCAGTCCCCATATATACCCACGTTTAGCAAGCCAATGTTAGGGTACGTGGTATTCCCTGGAGAGCATGTGGCAGACAGGATGGCTGCTACGGTAACTTCTGCACAATTTACCCAATGCCACAGTCATTTTTGTGGCCCAAGTGGGCAAAAGAACAGGCACTGCTGGTCCTGGCAAGTCAAATGCTCAGGCAGGGTGGCCATGAGCAGGCAGTAGTTGTTTGACAGGCACTGACCACCTGCAGTGACCATGCCTGTATGCAAGGGGAGTTGTATCTGCTCTTTCACATCCCAGACCTGGCCCTGGAGCCTTCCTGGCTGTTGTGGTTTGAGAAAACCCACAACAGTTTATTGTTGTTTAGACAATTATTCTATCACCTGATGACCCCTTCCTACCCGGGAAGAAACAAGGAAACTCGGGGATGGAAATACGAACATATTTAATAGAATAAGACTAGATAATTGACACTAATAGCATAAAGAACCAATGTTGATCCTGATACCAACATAGAATATACAAGGCTTACTCAGCCAATTATATCAGTCAGAAGCTGTGCACTCCCAGTGGACAGCAAATGTCGGACGCTGCAAGCGCTATGGCTTCAGGAGGAAGGGAAGGCTCGCAGAGGTCTGGAACCAGGGCAAGAAGTTCTCTGAATCACAGCCATTAAGGGAGAGAGAGAACTTCACAGCAAACTTTCTAATTTATATTGAATGTGACGTTCATGGTATGAAATAAACCTGTTGGCCAGCTTGGGTCAAGTGCCCAGGTCTCACTCCTCATCCCCGCACCTGTCAAGTTCAAGAAACACTGAGGCCTTGAAACTTACACACCATAGCTGGCTATAAAGTAAATATTTTCATGAATTCAGATACTTGAGTCTTCTAAAAGTGCAGTTTTCCCAAGCATTAGAAGAGAAATTAGTCCTGTGTTGCTCAAACCAGGACACTGGCCCATCCTCTCCCTCCCAAAAGCAATTTCAATTATTGATGCGACTTGCTGTGTTAGTTTAGCTTTCGCTCAATATGAAAACTTGTGTTAGAATTGTGTACTGTAAGCATTGTTTCTATTGCAGCCCGGTTGAATTAACCTAACTGAATTAATAAATAATAGGACAGCTTTTAAAACATCTGCAAAAGTGTCAGCCTCCCTTGTGCATTTGGAGGTGGGGCAGACCTTGCCCAGGTTACAAACTCCAGACTCAGCTGTAAGTCCAGCCATAAGTCTATACTCTGCAGACTTCTCTTGACTTCCGTAGGTATCGAAGCTGTGCTGGCTGACAAATGAGCCAACCGCTGCCTGTTCCTGGAGTCAGGCAAGAGAGCTCAGGAGTGCACAGTGGCATTTGGCACTGTGAAGATGATCCCTCTTTACTGCCGACCTATTAAACACAGAACTCCAGAGAAGTGCCATGCTGGTTGCAAAGCCTCTTATGTACCTGGGCAGGGGACTGAGTGAGGGTAAGCATAGTAGGAGGCTTGAGCACTTCGGTATGCTACTTTACCTTCCCACACCAGCATGCCCAGCGCCTCAAAGCCCTGAAATCTGAAATTATATTCTCCGTTCCATCCTCCTACTCTATCTTTTAACCTTTAACTGATTTTCTTGGAACCCAGAAAAGGTGTCTGGATAACTCACAAGTAATTATGTACGCTAGCCAGAGGAACAAGGGAGAGAGCAGGAGATTTTCAACGGTATCTGACTATACTTGGCACACATCCTTTGATAACACTAAACTGCTCAAGCCTGCCTGTTTAGGGAGATGCAGCGTGTCATTTTCTCTTGCAGAAAAGGGTTCAATCTTTAAAAGTAGGATTTATCTCACCTATTGTTAGCCACCGCCAAGTTTAGTGTCTTCCATCAATTTATGAATTCCTTTAGTCAATGGAGAGAGACAGGTCCCTTGAGTGTTGTTTTTCTCAATGTGCTAGTTTAGGCTGGACATACAGCTTTTAGGCATTTTATGTTACAGGGAATAAATCCCACCTGTAACCA